GGAACACTACATTCATGTGCTATACAAGGGCCCTTCGGGCATATTTCCAGTGCCTCAGATGACCAGATTCAGAGCAAAGATTGAGTGTTGCATGTAGAGCTGTTTGATTTATAGTAAAATCCAGAGATTCACAAAAAAAAAAGTGGTTTTTTTTTAACTTTTCTCCTCCTCCTTCATATGATACTTAAAAAAAAAATTTATTTAATGCAGACTTTGCTAGAGTTAATGAACATCAGCCTGCAAGGATTTTGAGGGTCAACACTAACATTTCTGGTTAATTCAGGGATTAAAATGATGTAATTTATCAAGATGAAAAGCACTAAACTAAAAAGGTTACATGGCAATTAATTAGTAGGGTTCAAATAGTAAAGGAGAACAGAAAGAGCTCTGAGTCAGTGGGGGCACATTTTCCTTACTCTTTTATTAGAGGTTAGTTTATCAGTGATACTGCAGTTAAGTTTCCAGTTGATGTGCCCAGAATGGCTTGTGCTCATTGCGGATCTGACCTGTTCATATTACTAAAGAGAAACTTTTACAGGGTGTGAAGTGCCCAGGAAGTGGAGCCAGCATATTTTTAAGCTGTGAGGAATTAGATGCCTAGCGCAGAGCAGTGGGAATGGCTTCTGAAGATTCTGCAGGTTTCGGATTTCATTTTCCCCAGGGTTGGTGGCCTGGTGGGATCCTCATCTCCCTCAGGGCAGCACTGCACCTGCTGCGATCGCTGCAAAGAGCAGGTGGTGCCCAACTGGCACTTATCTTCCTCCACCAGGGCAGAGTTAATTTTTAGTTGTTGATTGTTGGGTTTTTTTGGTTTGTTTTTTTTTTTTACTTCTCCTTTTTCTACTTATTCATCTGTTGTAATAGCAACTGTCTTTGTCTAGTTGACATTTGTTAAAGGGCAAGTGGGAAACCCAAATGGTACTTGTTATTGATCAAATTTACATACTTCTGGTGAAATGGTGCTTCTTTTTGGGCTCTAGGGGAGGTGGGGGATCATTTTGCAAAGAGTTTCTTGACCCCTTTGAAGAGAAATACTGATCTCTGAGTTTGGGGTGGAGTATGAGGCCTTGCTCTCACTGTTGTAAATAATTTGAGAAAAACAGAGAGTATCCAAAATGCAAACCAGCGCCTGCCTTCAGGGGGTACAGGACCCTCAGAAATGCTTGTTGTCTTCAGGCAGATGACGCAGTATTTATGGGCCTACAAAGGCTGAGTGCTTTCCACGCAGTGCTCTACAGTAACCCACGTTATCTGAACTGGCTGGCTGTGGGCTTTTTGGTTTGGTTTTGTTTTTAAATGAGGCTTTAGACTGTGAATGAGGAAGCTGCCTTTATAAAGGTTCTTGAATTCTGAGTTTAATTCCCCTGTTTATTTCGGTCTTTCATTTCTAGGTCCAGAATGGGTGGGACTCCATTCGGCAAAAATGCTTGTCCTTTAATTTCTCTGTAATTGAATGCCAACTTTCAATTCAGCTGTACTGGAATCCTTTGAAAAAGAGATATTAGTGTGGTGTTTGTTCAGATTTACATGTTTTAAAGAGAAAAGCTGGCAATATACTTAGTTCTGCTCTGCTCACTCTTTCACAATAGTTCTTCCCTCTTAATTGTACTACCTTATGCAATAAATAGTCCCATGGGTTTCTGTGAGAGTGCTTAGGGAATTGAATACCACAGCAGTAGCAGAAATGGAAAAAATGAATAGTGCTTTTAAGGAGTGAAACATTTGGCAAAACGCTCATGGTTTGTACACATATCAAACATTAATTCTGTTTTGTTTGCTTATGAATCTATTTAAATTATTGCAGAAAACTATCAGTGAGAATTATGTTAATGATGCTTTTTATGGCACCTGGTGTGACATTTGGGATCCTATTGATTAAATTCTACTTTTAAATTCTATTTTAACCTTGAAAAACAATTTTTATACTGCAAAGAATAGCTTCAATTCATGAAGTTTTTGTGTAAAAAGTAAAAAATATCTCTTAAATTTTACCAGTTCCATCAAAGGCAATCACATAGACACGGCTCATGCACACGTGAATTGATGGTCAGACCTGCTCAGTATTGCATGCATATAAAATGTTTCTGTTAAAATGGCTTATGTCCCTAGAGTGTCCTAATAGGAATTAACAAGCCTTTGAGGGGATTTTTTTAAAGCTTTTCTTCAAAAGTGGAGAAAGAACACAAGAGCGTATCAGGAGAGACCTTTATGGCTTTTATTAGACTTTCCCTGTCCCTTCCTCCCTGATGTAGCTGGCCAAGATCATCCTGTGTCTTGCAGCTGTGTACTCTGTGCACGTCCTTACTGTGCTTTGCTGTCCTTGTGGATGAGCTCTGGTTCATGTCATGTGCCCATTCCTCCAGTGCCTGTGAAGAACATAACCAGCAAAGGAAGAAAAGTTTATATTTTTGTTTGGAAAATACCAGATTGAAGCAGAAATGTGTTTTGGTTTAGGTAATGAGTGTAACATCAATATTACAATTCTCTTTTTTTAAAATCTAGACCTACACTATATCTCTGTGCTTTGTCCTGGATTTATCTAGGCTGTTCATTAGCAAGACATATCTTTTTAAGAGCAGCATTTAAGCAAACCTGGCTGGTATGCTTAGTTTTAAATGAAGATCAGCTCAACATGAGGTTTGTTGGGATTGCTCCTTGTGGAATTTTTCAAACTGGGACTTTTTAATCTGCTTTTGACTACCAAATTAAGTATTTTTTTTCCTTTTAAATTAGCATGTTTAGGGAGCTGCCTTTCTATTGAAGTTATATCATGTCTGTCTCATTCCTTCACTCAGCAGAAGGAGAAAAGCAAAATAGAAATTGAAAGATGTATGTGTGTTTAAAAAAACCCAACCAAAACAAAACATCAACCTAAAAAAAAAAACAACAAAAAACCAAAAAAACCCCATGAAAAACCCCCACCAAACAAATCACCACCCCTCAAACAAACAAACAAATGAACAAACAAAAACAAACCAAATCAAGTCTTACTGCAGAGGAAACTGGCTTTGCAAGTGCCTAGAAAATCCATCTGAAACAATTTTTATTTTTGTGTTTATTTAGTGAATGTTTCTTGATTGTGCTGTTGATGGTGAAGGCTGAGCTTGGGTTCCTCTGTGAATGCATGAAGCTGATAAAGAAGTTGTCTCTCATTTCTCTCATTTGTTTTTATTCCACCTGCAGCACTCTTCTGCCCTATCTCTACTTGTAAGTGTTTCCTTGTAGGGCTTTGTAAAACTAGCTTGAACACTGATTGGCATCCCCTTCACTGTCTGTCTTAGGCTTGACCTTTGTAGGGTTCAATTACTTTCTCTTCAGGACATTGAATTTCTTTGATAGCTAAGACTGGAATTTTGGGGTTTTTTTCAGCTTTTTGGTACAAAACATAGACATAGATGCCAAGATTCTCAGCCTTGCTATTATAGGGCTAGAAGTGTTTTACAGCTCCTTAGAATTAAAAAGTAAATTTCTGAAATCAAACTTTATAAGCATTTTGTTAGCTTCTTCAGCTACCTTTTTGGTGATCAGCTAAGAGCAGTGGCCAGCACTGGTTTGTTTGTGACCATGCTGAACTACAGAATACAATTCTCACTTCTTCTTTTATCACCTTATACTTCAAGTAATACAGAGTTTCCAATGTAGCTAGATTACAGTGTATTTACATATAACATGTACAGAGTTTATATGTTTCCGTTTCATGAGCAGAAAACTGGACTGTTTTCTTCTCGAGCTCAGCAGTGAAACTGGTATCGTCAATGCTCTTAAACTAAGGAATTTACCTGATGCAGTGCCGTTGATTTGGTTGATGCTATGGAGCTAGGAGTATGGTTGCAATCTGCAGCCAATCCAGATTGTGACCAGACTTTTACAGAGTGTAAGTTTGTGGGATTTTTGTTTGTTTGTTTTTCTCTTACAGCATACAAAAATCAAATAGTGAGTTCACTGATACACTGCGTATGTCTTTGGATACATGACTTACCACCTCCCTCACAAATAGTCACCACAATGATTTCAAGCTATAGAATTGGCTTTTCTGTGGGAATGGTATCGATATATCTAAACTTTTTCCTTGGAAAACCAAGGAAAACAGGTAATCTGGCATCAGCCATCTTTATTTACCAAATGCTATTGCCGTGACCACTGTAACGTTGCCTAGGTCTTAATTCTCTTTAATCAGCTCTACTGTCTTAAACATAGCAGAAACTGTAGTTGTAGCTCAAAACAGTGCTTAATGGGGCTTGCATGTGGATAAGAATTCCATGATTTTTAAGAGCTTGTGTTCATTCAGCTGGATAAACATGGAACTACTTCTTAACTACTGAGTGTGTTGTTTTGGTCCCTGCTAGCAACTGAAGTCTTAGGAAACAGAAGTCTTTTAAGTGAAATCAAGAGTTACGTAGTTCAAAGATGGCAGAAGTTCATACTGTTGATGTATGAATGTGTTCCCTATACAGACTTTGTAGCTTTCATGGGGATTCCAGAGTTGGACTCATAGTTACAAACAATCTATTTTTTAATGAGTGGAATGGTGGTCTTTGAGTGTGTGTAATGTAAACTAGGTAATTCATCTCTAAAATGTATCCGAGACACCCAGTTTATAAACTAGATGAATTTACGGATTGGTGTTTGAATCTGTGACAGCTTCGTATTTTAGCAGAAAAGTTTGGAGGAAGAGGAAAGTCTTTGAGGCATGGCTCAACACCATTTAAACTTTATGATTTAGAAAGTTGTATTCACTGGGCAGCTTCAGTGCTTGCTGCCTTTAAGAACTTTGTTTGAATTTCCACTGTGCAAAAGGAGTCCTGAGGCAGTAGCTACTCTGGAAACTGATTTATGAAAAAGGCTCTGTTTGGAGGAGAATATTATGTGCTCCTCATCTCTGCAAGCTACCCCGCTCTTTTCTTTAGTTGATGCTTCTCTAGGAGGCATTCCTCTCATACTTTTGTTCTGTCTTTTTTTTTTTCACCACATGAAAGAAAATCCCCTGTTTCATGTGCTCCATGGAGTTCCTTTCATCCTTCAAAGTGATGTTACTTATTTCGCGGTGTAATCGCCTGTGTGAGCTTGCTTTTGAGCTGTAAGGCTAAGTATTGTTTTTCTTGGCAGGGTTATAATGTCTGCACATTTACCACATGTCATTGATTGATAACAGTGATGAAGTAAATAACTGAAGGATTTCACTTGTTTTCTTTTTTTGTTCTTCTGTTTCTCATAGGTTCATTGCTAAACCATGTGCCTTAGGCCTTAAAGTCCAAGCCAACGGACCACAGAAAGCTCAACCTAATGCTATCTTGGAAAAAGTTTTCACAGCTATTACAAAGGTAGAGTATTTAACTAAAATAGTTACCTTATGAAGTGGGATATGGCACTATAAATTATGTCTGAACAAAACAAAGCTAACTGCGAAGTGCAACGCTGCATTTTTACAGCTAAAATCAGAATATGTAAATGTCAAGATTGTCATTGGCATGCCACCTTGAGCAGTTGTGCATCCCTTCATGACATCTCCTGTGAGCTTTTAATCAAAAAAAGTTTCTGCAGAGACACTGTGTAGGTTCCATATGGCCATCAACTGTTTTTTTTCTTCTTATCTTGTAGAAATTTCCACAAAATCATTGGGTTTTTTGAAAAAAGAGCAAACAGTGAGCCAGTAAGATTGGGTTTACTGTGTTTTCCATGGAAATTCAGAACTACTCCTTCTAGGGGAACTGCCTGAGCACAGGGTGCTGGTGGCTTTCTGGTGTCCCAGCTGTTTACATTGTGACAAATGTCCTTTGAAATTGTGGCGGGAAAAGGCTAGACAAGAGGGTGGAACTCAGCGAAAAATGTTTTAGAGCTTGCAGATTTTTTTGTACAAGTTTTTCCCCCACCGCTTATGCCTCTGTTTCTACGGCTCTCACTGTATGATATCTCAACTGAACCTCTGTGTCGTCCTGTCCATGCTTTTGAAGCATCCTGAGCTTTCTCATAGCAGTAGGCAGTGATCAGATGTCCTTTAGCGTCTCCTGAAGACCTCAGTGGTCAGCTGCTTTGTAGTGGAAAGGCATGTGGAGGGCTGAAGGACGAAGCCACTGTGCTTCAGGAGCTTCCCAGTCCCACCTCTGCTTCATGGTGCAGCTGAGCACGCCACAGAAAAGGCATCAGCCTAAACTTCAGAGAGTATTAGAGTCATAGACTGGGTTCAGTGTCAGGGACAGTAAAATATGTTGTGAATCTCTCTTGCTTGTGTGTCCTACCCTATCCTGAGATCACTATGGCAGCTGATGTGTTTTTTGTCCTGTTTTCAGTGAGGGAATTGCACATACCTTGTTTCTAAAAGCTGCAGCACATGTACTCTCTGCCCAGACTCAGCTGGAGGAAGAAGGGGATTTATTTATTTATTTATTTTAATTTTTCCTTGCAAAATCTGCTAGTCTGACATGGGGCCTGAGAGCGTGAAGTGATATAACTAATGCCTGTGAGTCATGGTAGGAGCTGGCATGCATGGCTCACAGCACCCCGTGCATGGAGACGAGCGGGAAGAGCTCCAAACGAAAGAATCTACTTTCCTTCAAGAGTTTGGTAGGGCTGCTTGGTAGCTGCTCTCAAAGCAACTGCCCAATTTAGCTAGCAGTGGTTTTTTGTCATGTGCAGCAGTTCTCTCTAGTCAAACTCCCAAGAGCTGCATCAATCATTTGATTTTTCTAAAGTTACAGAGAATGGCTTTTCTTAGCTTTCCATTGGAAAACTAGTGACTACTTTGGTTGACTAAAACCTGAGGGTTTTTTGTTTGTTTGTTTGTTTTTTGAGATGGATGGCAAATACTTTGCCCTTCTCTTGTCTCATCCTTTCCCTTCCTTTCCTTCCTATCTTTTCCTGGAGGCTGATTGATGAAGCCTGACTGAAGCTTTGCTATTTCACCTCTTGCAATATTTTAAAAAATCTTTTTTTGTGGCAGCTCTTGTGCCTTATTCAATGTATGTGACTGACTTGCAGAGGTAAAGCTAAAGCTCCAGAAAACAGATTGTCCAAAAGCTTTTTCTATTTCTGTAAAATAGAATGTGATCAGGAGAAATATATAAATAGTCCTCGTGCAGTACATACTTGTAGAATTGCTGCATGATTGGAAACATGGCCTGTATTGCTCTTCTCTGTATAGTAGTCAAATTAAGGACAGACTCATTTTCTTTTGCTTTACCTCTGCACTGGTTTGCAGCCACTCTATTGGAAAGAGAGTTCCACATTTGCTACTTTAGAGAATAATTGTGTGTAGCTAATTTTACAGAAAAAAATTCTCCCTGTTGTCAAGGTGATTTTCCTTTTGAAGTTGTCACTTTGTTTAATGACCTTGGTTTTTAACATTAACATGCATGAGCATGGGATATATCTTCTTTCCACGTCCATCAAACAATCTTCACTACTGCAACAATTGATAGGACAAGGATCCTGATGCAGGAGAATGGAACAGTCATAGTGTGTGGCAGGCAGGAACTGTCTGTAAGCCCTACTGCTCGAGAAACACATGGCATTTTCTTCCTACTTATCATTGCTTTCCAAGTTTCAAGCAAGATTTCATTCCATTGTCCCCTGTGAGTGTCTTATTAATAAAAACCTGCATGCAATATTACAGTATATGTCCATCTAGATTAATAGTCGTCACTGTAAACGTACCTTGTGGATCTGCCAGCAGAGATTTCTGTGAAAGTCATTTTATTTCTATGTATCCATGTGTCTGACAGGCAGCCTCTAGGACATCGAGAGGCAATTCAGTGGTTCTAAATTTAAAGTGAAGTTACTGGAGTGGGGCAAAGAAATAGTTTTTGTCCTTCTCTGTTCTGTAGCATCCAGATGAGAAGAGACTGGAGGGCCTCTCCAAGCAGCTGGACTGGGATGTACGCAGCATTCAACGTTGGTTTCGACAAAGACGCAACCAGGAAAAGCCCAGCACTCTTACGAAGTTCTGTGAGAGCATGTAAGGATGCGCGTTTTCTTCTTGAGTCTTGTTGAGCATGCGTCCTCCTCGGATTTCCCCTTCGTTTTTCATGGATATTTTTGTAGATGGGTGGAAAATGATACAAATTGTTAGAATATAACTTCTTGAACGAGGAAAACAATCTCCTTTCTCCTGAAGGAGTCAGATTGTACTTTTTGTGTACTTTCAATGATGGGAAGCTTTCAGAAATCAGGTGGTTGTGATTCTATGCTGTTAGGGTGCCAGCTGATCTTTTGAGACAAATTGCCTGGTGTTAGAGTGGGAAGCTGTCTTTACAGCACAGCCTTTAGCTATACAACCTGACAGAGATCTGAGATGGAGGCGTAAATAAACATAAAAGCTAATTGGGTTGTTAAACCCCTTTGTTTTTTCTCATCCCAGACTTGTCCCCTTTACTAGCCCATTTCCCTGGGTGCACTGAACTCTGAGAAGCTAAAGGCTTTCTTTAGGAAGTTATTTTTCACCTGCCAGGCTTTACTTCTAAGGAATCTTTCCCCACAGCCAGCTGTTCTTCAAACTGGTTATCTACATAAAGGTCGTTTTTCTAATTAGATTCCATTGGTTTTAGTGTCTGAGTTTCCATGCCAGCTGGATGTAACATTTTAATACTTAATCTGCATTGAAAGAGCATGGAAAATTAAATCTACTTAAAATATTTACATGTTTTTCTTAAAGGAGGACTGATAGACATTGAATTCATAACAAAACACAGAAAACAACACTAGTTTATTTGAAAGACTCATTAATTCCAAGACTCAGCCCTCTAGCACTGCTGGATGTTGTTCCTTTGATGTGGAAGGTCATGCATTTAAGACAAATTTTACATGCTCCAAATTAAGAGACTTGGCCAGTATTGCTGAGGCCATAAACAAGTATTGGCTTTATTACACCTTGTTGGTCAAGCAGTTGTGTTATTGCTGGCTTAAAAACTCTAGTTACACTTTGTTAGCTGGAAAAGAAGTGTTAGATAGAAATGTCAGCAGAAATAGAGGAAGCCTATTTAAGTTAGAAAGCAAATCTTAGTTAATCGTGATTTCCAAGTTTTGTGTTTTATTTTGGTGGTGGTTTGATTTTTTTGTTTTGGTTTGGTTTGGTTTTTTTTTTCCCCTAACAATTCTTAAATGATTTCTCTAAGAAATTTCAAGCAAAGAAACCACAAAAACATTGCAGACTGCTGGAGAGTGGGGTGTACGTATGAAAGAAAAACAACTTGTGGAAAAATACTGTTGTATCATTCATGTAGATTTGCTAAATATATTTCATACTTTTTGTAGGTTTCCTAAGTATTTTCCTTAAACTTTATTGTCCTGTGAAAATATACAGGAAAATTGATAATATGGTCCTGAATAAATAATTAAGGCATTTTCTTCTAAAGCCAAACCATAAATGAAATGTTATTGGAGTAGCAATTGATACTTACTTTCAACTAAGGACTGAATAGGAGAGAAATGAGAAGAGTTACTGTTATGCGTATTGGCTCTCTAGCTCAGAGAAACAGTCCTTTTTTAATTTTAGAAGAAGAAAGATAAGTTGTCTAAAGATGATGACCCTTTAATAAACAGAGAAACTTAACTGTTAGAATGCTTAAATCCTTTCCTTGGTATTTACAGCTAAAATCCACCTTACTTAATATTTAATATGCCGGTCAGGGTGACATTATGGATAAACCTAGTCGTCCTGTTGCTAGCAGCTGGTGGTCTTAGAATTACTAATTTCTGAGGTCAGTGAAGAGCTCCCTTTTTTCTACAAGGTTTGTAGCTGTTAATGTATACATTTGTCTGCTTAACTTGTAGGAAAGGCTGTGGAATCTTGGAAAAAAAATAAAATTCTGTTACTGTTAGAGCTAGCATATTTGGGTGGTGTATTTGTCTGCTTTTATAACTCAGGTCAAAGACTTCATTCTCTTGCGTTACTGCCAGCGCATTTGGGCTGACCTAAAGGTAGAAAAAATGTAAACATACCGTGAAATACAGGCACATATAGGAAAGTTACAGGTGCTGAACTTGCTCCTTTGTGGCATACATTATGGAAAAAGCATGCGGATGAGAGCTATGAGTGCGAATGGAAGGTAAGGTCAAGCTGTAATGAATGTTATTAACGTATGCTGGCAGAATTAAGGACCAGCTTCATTTAGAGAGCACCGTTGGGTGATACTGCAATATGTGTACTTAATAGTAATGATAATACTTGTCCAAAAAGAAGCAAGGTGGTGTAAATAATAAGTGGATAGTTCAGGTTCTTTCTGCTCATGGTTTGCAGAAGGTGCAGTGGGAGTTGCCTCTCCATACGTACATGCTGCTGTGGGAATGTGGTGTTAACCATCCGACCGTGTGTTCATTGTCCTGACAGCATTTTCAGTGCTGCAGTGTGTGCCACCAGCCATCCTGTTGCACATGCTGGATGGAGTTGTTGGCAGGTAGTCAGAAGAGCACTGGGAAGCCAGGGATACCCTTTTTTTCCCCTCAGTATGGGTGTTAAAAGGTTGTCTAGTTAAATCTATCCATCAGAGCACTAAGCGTGGTGCTTCACTTCAGTAAGTTTGAAGCAAAGACATCCTTTTGTATGAGATCTGTAGCCTTTTCACAGCTATTGAATTAATGAGGTGGCTTTGTGGATGAAGAGTCCATGTGTGGCAGCTGCTTTGGAGCTCCGGGGTGCGTAAAGCACATGTTCCCATGACAGCCGTGGAAAGGAAAGGACTCCAAGTCTTCAGGAACTGGGGTGGCAGTGGAGAGTTTCGTACCCCTGACAGAGAACAAAATGTGCCCTTATGCAATAAGCAGTCACAGAGCAGTCAAAATGACTGATCCCCACCTACACCTTCAACTGTTGAGCTGCAGTTGTCCTTCCAGAGAAGACTTCAGTTTTATTGGCAACTGCATTGAGTGACTGTGACTTGGGAAGAAAAGTGACAGAACCCACAGCAAACACGGAGATGCTTAAAAATATCTCCAGCCCTTTTTACATGGAGATGATTCAATTTACTGCTAGAAAAAGTATTCCTTGGGCCCAGAGTGGCTTTTCCGTGACGCAAGGAGAAGGCAGCTGTGCCAGGAGGGCCGTGGGCCATTTCTAACTGCCTTATCTTTCTTGCCAAATGAGTAGTGTGGGTACTAAGGTAGAGGAGCTTCAATAGACAAAGGCTGAGAGTGAAACTCAATGATAAACACGCTCAGCTGGGATGAATGACACAAGGATCCAGGCCCAAACAGACTAAACCAGTAGCTTAATCATTAGATTCTTCTTGTCCCAGATTTCTCACTTTCTCTACTCCTTCGCTTCTTTTTCTCTTCAAGCAACTTCATTTCTGGTCCTCAACTGGAGAAACTCCCAAACCTATGTTTTTGGTTGTTTTTCTTTTTTCAAAATGGAATAGTTCCTTTGCTGCCAGCCTTTGTCAGATGTCTTGGGCATTAGCAGATGGTGGTTATATGAAGAAAAAGGCAGTAAAATCTCTTGTCTATAGACACTGTTAGTGCCACAGCACTGTGGTGAAAATAGATTACTTTTAAGGAACCTTAACCAGTAATCACCCCATAGTTTTATGTGTCAATCTGAAAGAGAAGGCGCCATTTGATTTTTGGAGCTGTGGAGACTGCTAATGGTAAGACTTCAATGGCATCATATACCTGCTTAAGATTTCAGATGTTATGGTGATAAGTACCTATATGAAATATGAAATAGATAATTTCACTAGGTGATGATTCATGATCCAGTATTAGTCAGAAAGACAGTAATAATTTAGGTGCTGAGGATTATTTTACTGCAAGTCAATGGATTGTTTCTCAAGGATTTGGTGATTTTGACATTAAACTTGGACTTAACAGCACAGTGTTTGTAGTCACTAGGAAAGGCACCCACCTAGTGTAACCTCAGATTGTATTACTCAGGCACTTAGCTTACCATATTGACTGCAGGGGAGAGACTCTGTCCATAGCTTTTCTTTCTTTTGTGGGAGTTCAGACAGCTTTGCTTCTTTCCTCAACTTGAAAGATCCAAGGTGCATAAAGGAGAAGAAAAGGTGGTGAACTGAGCATGCAAACTGGACTTGTCTACTGCCATGCACTTCTGTTGTTTTTTATTCCTTTCTCTCTGTCCCCATGGCAGAGCCTCACAACAAGGGAAGACAAGCTTTCTCCTGAACAAGAGTAGGCTGAGGACTTTGTGCTCTGCACTTTGAGTCCATGAGAAAACACAGAAGGCAGATTACCTTGGAGCTTTTCTGAAGCTTGTGTGGTTTCTGTGTTATTCATGGAGAGTATCTGCAGTACTTTACAAGGGTAAAAGTTGTTTCTGCAGAGGACTATCGATCTGTTTATAGGTGGGTGATACAAATTGGATCAAATGCTCTAAAAACTCCACTGGAGCATAGTTCTGGCACGCAATTTTTTAATTTTTAATTTTTTCCTCAAAAAAAAGGTGTCTGACCACAAATAAGTTCCTAAAAATGTCTTAAGGTAGGATGTTGTATCTGAATATGGTGGAATGGGAATTGCAGACATGGAATAACCTAGGGGGCAAAGCGTTTCAAGGTATGCAGAGAACCACTCTAAGAATGTAACTCTTGAAAGACCATGCATAGTGACTTTGCTGGTTGCCAGACAGAATACAGGATCCAGGAATGTCGTTGTTAATATGTGACATGTCAGAAAGCCAATGCGGTATCGATTCCCAAACTACTTCCAGTTTCTTCTCGGTTTCAGTGTATTGTGCTGCTGCTCAGACTACCAGTGCGTAGGCATGTCTGCTTTTTTCAAAGACTACATAGTATAGAAAGGGCAAGCATCCTGTTGTCTTCCAATGCTGCCCAGAGCAAAGGGAAAGAATCTGTGATGCCCTAAGTTATTAGGCTGGGACTTTGGAATGTCATCAGGCTCATGACTTGTCTGTCCTACAGCTATATACATTTAAGCAAGATGTTTAGTAGAGACATTTATACGGTTTCCAAGGAGTGGCTGGCAGAAACATATGGCCAAGAG